TGCTGCAGAGTGCATCCTGCCTGCTGGCGGCTCCCTAGGTAAGAGGCCGCCCCTGGGAAGGGCACACCCAGAGCCACCCGCCTGACCTGGCGCCCCGCCTCCGCCTCAGGTGTCCGCAGGATGCTCCAAGGCCCAGCTCCCCTGTCCCGGCGACTGGGCCCCGAGGGTGCGTCCACGCAGGGCCTGACAGCCCCCAGGCCGGCCCCTGACCAGGACTCGTCTGCCTGCGCCCGTGGTGCTGCCCTGCCCAGGGGGGCGCCTGGGAGAGGGAGGCGCGGCCAGTGATGAGTGGCCGCGTCCCGCTGGCAGAGAGAGCCCTGTCCGAGGGCCACGCCAGGCTCCGCTACAGGGACACCTCCTTGGCCATCTGGCAGCAGCAGCAGTGCAAGTTGGAGTCGGGGCCGCCCGGGACCTACCTGCGCCGCAGCCGGAGCGCGTGGTACTCGCAGTACGGGAACGAGGCTGTCCTCGTGCGCGACAGAGACAAGCAGGAGGTCTCCCGGGACACGGGCCGGTCCAAGCTCTGCGCCATAATGTGACGGTGGGCGGGCCGGGCCCTCGGCCTCGCGGGGGCCAGCGCGTGGCCCTGAAGGCCCAGTGTGGGGTAAGGACCCCGGATCCCCCCGCCCTCCACAGAGTCCGTGCGCCTGCCTCAGCCCCGGGCCCCCCCAGGGGTCAGCGGGCGTGGCCAGGGCACCAGGGATGGCAGCTGATGTCAGTCCAGCAAAACTGAGTCCGGCGACAGAACATTCGGTCGCTTTCCAGCGCTGACTCCGGCCTGGGAAGGAAGGACGTGGCCGCCCTGCCTGCAGGGCCACGGCGGCTCGAGCCGGCAGTGGCGGCCAGCTTCGCGGCGGGGCATCCCCGGGTCTAGCTTCCGGGCCTGAGGCTGCAGCCTGTGTTCCAGAAGTCATGGAGGAGACCCAGCACCGTGCTCGAGTCTCATCCTCCTGCCTCGGGGGCCGGGGGGGGCCAGTGTCCAGGCCCGCCTGGGCGGGCATGACCCCTGCCCGGCTGTGGGCACGCAGCAGGAAAGCGGCCTCCCTTTCTCAATAAACGCCCGCAGCTGCGCCCGCGCCGCACTGTGCTCGTGGCCTCTCCGCTGGGCCTTCGGCCCGGTTTGGCTTTGTTTTGTTTTGTAAAGATGAGTTCGTGTATGCATACAGGACTGGGGTGCAGGCCAGAGGTGCAGGGGCGGTGAGAGGGCTCCCCAGATGGAACGGGGAGCGGGACAGGCCGAACCCAGTGCTGCGGGGCCAGTGGGGAGACAGGAGGGCTCTGCCGTGCCCCGGGGGTCACCCCTGGCCGGGGACTGGACTCGCGCTGCAGTGGCTGCGCTGTAACCCCTGTGCCACCAGGGAGCCCCGTGTGCGTTCATGACCACGCTGGCGCACGACTCCCAAGACCCCCCCAGTGCAGAGCGCGGCAGGCAGGAGCTCTCCCCGCCGGCGCCCGGCCGCTCACAGCGCCGTGGGCTCCGAAGGCCCTGCCCTGCTCCTGCCTCTGCCCATGCGCAGCTGTCCAGCCTGGGCTGTGCCTGTGCCTTCCTCTCTGGTCAGCAGCCCCGGGCGCCAGGCCGGCAGCTGCCCGGTCCCGTGCCTGTGCACAGTGGGCGACTGTGCAGGCGCTCTGGCCACCCCACTGGGCGGACGGCAGCAAAGGCCCAGTGGGACGTGTGGGGTCAGCAGGGCCGGGGCGCTTGCTGATGGCACCGCTGCAGTGGTCAGTTGTCCTCAGGCACCTGCAGGGGTAGAGGGGCACAGCGCCAGCCTGGGCCTGCGGGAGCCTTACGCTGGCATCTCGCGCCCTAGAGGTCCCTGCGGCGCCCCAGCCTGGTCCTGCCCGGGAGTGTGGGCTGCGCCCTGCCCACGGGTGGGGGCCGCACGGAGGCCGTCGGCTCTACAGTCTCCTACAGTCGTGCGCGGGGCGGCTGCCCTGGACAGCTGGGGCCGGGCTGGAGGGAGGGAGGGCCAGGGCCCTGTCCCCTCCTGTGGGCTGAGGGCCAGAAGCGGTCAGGGGACACCCACACAGCCAGGGCTTGGACAGCTCTGGACGGGCCCACCGAGAACCTCGTCTGGAAAGCTCTCTGGTTCCAGTGAGCCGGCTTGAAGGACAGGGGCATGTGGACCGCCGTCGGCGCCTCACCCTGCCCAGCAGCCTGCCGGCCTGGTGCGAAGGAGCAGGAAGCTGAGCATGGCCCCGGCGTGGCTGTCCGGTGGGCGCCTGGCGGGGCCCGACGCAAACCACCGCACACAGACAGGGCCGATGGCTCCCCGGGGCTCCGGTGCTTGTCCCCGGTTGCCACGGCGGCAGCTCGCTCTGAGAAGCAGCGTGCAGCAAGGAGCTGGGACCTTCTAAGGCAAAGCCCTCGGCCCTGGGCGCCCCTGCCCGGCTGAGGACGGGGCCTCGAGCCGCACTCAGAAGCCCTGTGGCAGCCCGGGGCGCCGCGGGCCGGCTGGTGGGCAGGTGCCCACCCTCAGGCCCCACGAAGCTGACACAGGAAGAGGCACAGATAGGGACCCGGTTGTGCTTTCTGTTCTTTACTTTTATTATGAAAACAGAACAAACGCCCGGGAGAAGGGCCGCGATTCCAGACGCTGAAGGCTACGTCCCGCCGCCTTTGCTCTGCTGCGCTGAGGCCGGCACTGCGGCCGACAAGCTAAAACTACTTCCACTGGACTCATTTTCAGTAACTGACATTTACAGAACATACTAGAAACAGCACTAAAAAGTTTAAGAAAAGTTACGGTAAACTTGCATGCACATCATACAGAAAATTAACATTTTAAATATAAAAAAGAAAAGCTTCCCGAAGTGTCAGGCCAGCGCTCCCCC